TGAAGACAAGGCATTGGAGGGGGCAAAGGAGTTTTGTCCCACCGCAGTTTGCTGACTACATAAGCACATGGGGGGCCCTTTGGCCAAGGAGCAGCTGGCTCACTTCCCTCCAGCTGCCTGGGGGGGGTTGTCTTCACCTGTGAGGTGTTTGTTTGCAGCATGACAGCATTCACCAGCTGGGGCATAAATCATTCAACAAAACCCTCTGCCACCCCAGGGGCTTCTCATAATATCCGCTTGCAGCTGGCTTTTTATTTCCCGAGTCTTTCTCGTCCCAGATCTTTTCAGGCATTGCCCTCTTCTCTGCCCCCAGCCACCTGCCAAGAGGCAGCAGGTCCCTCGATTGTGGGGCCATGCCCAGGCTTCCTGCAAACCTATGTCAGGGCGAGGTTGCCAGAGGTGCATAGGCACAGGCCTGTGCTGGAGGTAACAGGAGCAAACACCCAGGGCTTGCTGAGCTGGTCTGCAGCACTCTGCCACTTTGCCATTCACCTCTGTGGCTGTGACAGTGCTTGTGTAGATACAGAGATGTAGTGTTACTTCCCCTAGTCTATAATCCCTCTGGACTGAGGCAAGCGCCTGGCTCCTATAGCAGCTGTCCTGTCTTGCAGAGCACCTTGCTCACAGGAGCCACCAGCACTGGGGCTAGCCCCGCTCTGCACAGGAGGGATGAAATTTTGCCCATTGGTTTTTCATTTGCATGTGCTAGGACTCTGCTCTCCAGCATCAGGAATATTCTGAGTAAGTCTAGGAACCCATAGCAGCTCTGGGAAGCATGAGAAATTGTTTTTGCCTGGACATTTATCCTTCTCATTTTTTCTCCATTTTATTGCTGGGGTCTGGTTTCTTTCTGTGCTCGGAGAAAAGCAGCCCAGCGCCAAGGAGAGCCACTTTTACTGGGCTTGGAATGTTGCTGCTCCACCACAGGTTTTTGCTGTGGGACTCTGAGTGGGTAAAAGGATAATTTCTCATCGGTAAGAGAGAGATCAGCTACTGCTGAAGCAGCCCAAAGCCTACCTGGGCAGAGACAGCAAGCCCCTAAATCCACATTCAAAGCTTTGGGGAAGTCCCTGTTCTTAGGCTTCTGCTCTTCTGTTTGTGGTCACACGGCTACTGCACATGTGCCTTACCTGTCTTTTGCTCTGACTGCTTTCTTTTCCTAGTTTCACAAAGTTTACAGAGTCACCTTCGTATTCCCCTACACCGGCTGGCATTGCCCCAGCAAGTTAGCCAAACACAGCCAAAACAAACTCAGCTTTCCAAAGGGTAAAACTCAAAGCAGCACAAGCAGGCTCCCACACCTCCTTTGGGAAGGAGATACATGACAACAAAAGGCTGGGATTTCAAATGCTCACATTATCCCACAAGTGCTGTTTAGCCTGCCCAGTTAGCATGTCTCCGCTACCGCGCTCTGTACGGTCTGAGAGCAACTCCCGATGGAAGCACAAAAACACTGTGCAGCCCCACCAGGGTAAAGACCAAAACAAACTCCTGTTCTCAACAGAAAAGTCCACTGAAAACCCATAACCAGCATATCCAGGGTACAAGCAAGTAAACAGCAATAATAATGTAACTTTATTTAGATTTGACATTTAGCACAGTAGTAAGCACAGAAAGAAAGAAGTACCAAAATACCAAACTCCTAGCATATAAAATAATCAAATATATTTCATCTTTAGCGAAGTATTTCTACAACACATCGGTGGGACTGCCCTGGGCAGCCCAGCCCTGTAAATATATATATGTATATATAGCTGTGTTATATAAAATACTGTATGTAGAGAAAGCACTGAAACTTATCACCAAAATAGAAAAGAGCTCAAAATACAGATCATTCAGATTTGCTAGTCATACCCAATATTGAAAAGAGGTTCAAACCCGCTGCAGGAGATAAAGCTCCAGCTTGGATGCCATGGCAGGCATAAGATGGCGTTACTGGGCACAGACTGGCTAAAGCTGGCAGGAGCCTGGCTCATGGGACAGGCTCCAGACCTGACCATAAGGTGACAAGAGTGACTGGTCCTTGCCCAGGACTGTCGAGACATCTCCCAAGTGGAAATGCCAGTGACAATGTTGGTGCTTGCGGCTGATGTTACGTGCTATGGGATGCCTGGGCGAGCGGCGCGTTAATGGCTGCGGGGAGGCTTGAGCTCACGAGCGGCCGCTCAGGTCCCCCTTGGGTCCCGTAGGAGACCCCGCAAGCCCAGTCATGCCCTGCTCCAGCCTGCGCCTGCCCGGGGCCAGGGGGCCATGGAGAAGTAAGAGCTGCCGGAGCAGCGCTCCCGCTACTCCCGTGTGGATCCGGCTGCAGTGGGACTGGCCATCAGCAGATGTGCATCACAAGGATATTATTCTGAATTTCAAAGATGCCTCTTCAGCAGATGACCATAATTAATTCCCATTAGCTTTTAAAAATCTAGAAAGCTGCTTTTGTACCAGGCCAGCCTTCCCCAGGCAATGCCATACGTTTGTTCTGGCCTGCAAGCGAGCAGCACATGAAGTGGCAACCCTGCTGCTACGGGACAGTAACACTGAATGTAATGTTTGTCCTGGCGAAAAGTCCCACCTGCCCTGAAGGTGATCAAGGTTAGTGTTGTACTTAAGATCCCAAGCAATTTGTAAATAGATATAAAAAATATGGCCTTTCTGGCAGCAACACCAAAGTCCAACTGGAGCCGATAACCCACACCAGCACGTAGCCCGGGTGCTGCTGGTGCTTCAGGCTGGGTGCTGGGCCAGCAGGCGGAGGCACCAGTCCTGGCAGCAGGGGAAAACCGAGGGTGCCTTGGGGCCATTTGGTTCCCAATACATGAATGAGGCTCTTGTTGCTTTTTGGCTCAATACAATGATTCGTTTCCCTGACTGCTCCCACTGGGAAGGCAGCTGAGACCTGCCTGGGAGATCCCTCTTTGGGGGGTTCGAGCCCCAACGAGGCAGTGCCATGATGGGCCGCCCCTGTGCCGGCGCTGACCCGCTGGGGCTGGGGGCTGTGGGAGTTCACCCCTGGAGCCCTCCCAAACCCTGTCTCTGTGCTTCTGCCATGCCACTGCAGAGAAACCTATAACCCATTAATGATTCTGTAATTGCTCTTTCTCATCAAGCCAGCAGTTGCATCCCTAATTACATGGCAACAATACTATGCTAACAGGATGAGCTATAATTCCTAGGTGGTATTAGCATTGTTATTTTACTCTGAGTAACTTCCCGGTAATGGCCATCTGAATGTGGCAATCTCAATTAAGTGAATATAAATGCTTAGCCCGTGGAAAAATCATTAATAAAAATTTCATTCTGATAGCCTCTAATCACAGCTAAATACAATTACTCATATGAGGCCACTATAAAAAGTATTTTTCTCATCAGAAGAATTCATAAGGTTTTCACAACTGTTTGTAATAAAGAGAACACTATATAGAAAAGCCCAGAAAATAAGCACACGTTTGTTTCTCAAAACCCATAGATAAACATGACAATATCTCTAAATTACTGGCTACTGAACAGGATTTCATTTAGCTCTACTCAAGCCGTAGCCTAGTATAAACATTTTCAAAGCAGCGCACTGCTGTTTCATCTGGAGCAGCTGCACAGGATTTCTTTGATGTCAAGCTCTTGTGTGGAGATGGTGTTTCAATTTCTCTTTATGCCTCTGAACTGCTGAAACAGGAAGGAAAAGGCATTCAATAAAATAGGCATTCTTCATGGTGGAGGGGAAAAAAAAAGAAAAGGCAGCAAAATTTGGCCTTGAATGCAGTACCAAGAAATAATTCATCACTGCAGCAGTGACAGAACTACACTATGCCTCTCGCATCGCTGTTTCAAAGGAGACAGGGAAACCATCCTGTGGCTTTGCACTGCAGCACCGTCTCGCTGGGGTTCTGTACCAGGCACGCCCCAGGCTCGCACGCCGGTGGCACCCACAGCCGGTCACTCTCGTCCCGACTCCCCACGCTGGGGCATGCACCCCTTGTGTACTCCCCGAGGAGCATAAATGCAAGTAGCTGAGGAAGGTCTGCTCCTTCCCTGCTCTCACCCAGGCTCCTCAAGCTCAGCGGTGCCCAGCCCAGCAGGCTCAAGCTGCATGAGAGCTGCAGGACATCCAAAACGACTGCGGCTGGTCGTGACAGGCAGCTAAAGAAGCTGCTGCCCTACATCATTTGCCAAAGACACTTTCTTATGCAGTGAGCAAACGTTTTTTAGATGGCTGTGTCCACAGCGCTCATCGCTGAGCAACCACAAGCGCCGTCTGCGAAGCTAGAGAGGCACCTAAATGCAAACCCCCCTCCCAGGCACCTGGTGCTTGCCGGTTTCCTAAGTCAGAGGCAGGAGCCAGCGATACGTCTCTTCTCACCGAGCTCAGCGAGGAGGAGCCCCATGCGGTGCCTGAAAAGAAGGGGATTGCCCTGCCTGCCTGCAGAGCCAGCTGCACACACTGCACACGTTTAGGATGTACCAGAGCACAGATTTCTCTTTCTATAGGGAAATAACTGAAAAAGTCCAGGACAACCAGGAGCAACTGGCAGGAGGGCAGCTGGGGCAACACGGGGAGAAGCGGCGACACCGTTATCTCCAGGCAGGATCTGTCTCTCTTGCACTTCACAAAACATTCTTATGGGTTTATTTGCCTTCCTTCATCAATATTTTCCAGAAAAAAAGTTTGTTTGGGAACACTCTCAAAGCAGCACTCAAGGAGTCTTTCTAGTGACCTCCAAAAAGTACCTTTCCTAAGGCATTTCCCTGCCTTTTCAGACACCCCTTTTGCTGTATAATGCTTACTGGAACAAAAAAAAAGCAGCCAAAACTGAAAAAGGCTGCTGAAAAAGCCAGGGGCTCTGTTTCAAAACTCAATGAGCTGATGATAACAATTTCTGCCAGTGCCGGTGAGCTCTTGCTCGCCTGCAGCGAGGGTCTGGGGGCTCCTGTGCAGCTGTGCCGGGGGGCACCACCGTCGGGCATTGCCATCAGGCCCAGCAGTGCGCACATAGCTCACCCCCCCAGCCAACTTACTGCTCGCCCGCTGCAGCACTGCCGCTGCCCACAAACGGGATTTCTTCCCTGTCCGTCTTCCCCAGAACAAGATGGTGCTTCTCCATGTTTATGACACACTGTAAAGAATAGATGCCTTTAGGTAAGAGGGAAATCTGCAATTCACAGTGGTCCCAGCTCCCCCAGCATGGGTAAAGGCCCTGCTGGAAAACCCCTACCTTCAGAGATTTCAGTGTCTGCAGCCCAAAGGAGAAGGGTTTCTCATGGTCTTCTGAAAAATAGGAACATTCAGATTTATACATTCAAAATGTTCTCCCATGCTTTTTGTCAGTAACTCCACCCTTCCTTCATGGCTGCTTTGCTAAATGAATCCTTGTTTATAAAGGGACCGAGTTACTCCGGGGGGGAACACGATCAAAGGAGGTCAGGCAGATGCTCCTGCAGGGAGACACAGCAGTCGCTCCCTCGGCACGGCAGAGCACGAGCCTGGTGCTGCCAGCACCGCCCTGAACACATCTTCCCTCCCTCCCTCCCTCTGAAGGGCCAAACAGGGACTTTTGCTGCAGAAAAGCAGTGTTTCTATTATAATTTTAACATGTTTCTGAAGCTTAATTTTCCCCCCTGGGGTAGGAGGCAGCAGAGCCCCAGCCTGTACCCGGAGAAGCAGCGGAGCACGCACAGACTCACCCACGACGAGGGCAGTGCACTCCACGGGGACCGCTCCCACTGTGAGGGCAAGGCCCTCGATCCGGCCGATCGCCCTCACCTTGCATGGCAATGACACCATCTCGTCTTCTCCGGGGAGTGCTTTGAGATGCTCCTTTAACCTGTGCATTGAAAACACTTCTGACATGAAACAGCCATGGTTCAGCTGCTCCAGCAAGGAGGAAATGATGTTTGGAGGGTACTTACTCCTGAAGTGCTCTTAGCTCGCTTGTGTTACCACGCCGTTATTAGAAAGCTGCTTTCTTGGCAGGTTTTCTGTGATGCTGTGCATGCAGCCAGCAGCGCACACCCACGTCAGACCGTAGCACGAGCCACGACGCAGCCCTGGGGCCACGTCAGCCCTTGCCCTGAGCAGAGCTCCTTAGTGGATTTTGCTGTTTACCTGAGGAATCTTTTTCATACATTTCCTCAAGGCTTGGGGAAGCTGCTGATCTAAAATTGCTTCTAATGCAGTGTGGGTGTAAGGAAGGGATACTCCACTCCAGCTGCCACCAGCAGACACCACGTCCCCATGCCTCACAGCCAGGGCAGCATGCCCGACCCACGCTGGTTAGCAGGTGTTGCTGCTGGGTTTATTCAGTGGAAATGGGGACAGATCAATCACATTCAGCCTCAGAAAAGGAAAAAAAGGGTGTCAGGGATATCTCAGGCACAGTCGTTTCTTTTATCTACACCCCATGCACTTGTCTGACAACACTGATTAATTATTTAGCTTCAGTTTCTCTTTTAAACTGAAGGAGCATCTAATGGAAAGGCAGCTCAAGGCAGTGAGCTCCCTCTCAGATAAAAGCTGTATCGCTTTTCGGCTACTTGAGGCACCTTTCAGCTGAGCTGCATTGCAGCAGTGCATGTATATGTGTGTCTGTCCATCTGTCCTGGGGGTGACCAGCCCCCCTCAGAGGCAGAGGCTCCAGGACGGAGGTGGGGATTGCCCATTGCCATTAGCACATGTACAAGGACCAGGAGGGGATAGCAGAGAGGAGCTGGATCCCCTCTGCCGCTTCCCTTAGGGACTGGCCTTAAAAAGCAGTGGGAACATATCAAAAAGAAGTTTATGAGCTCCTTGGCCCTGAGCTGGCTTTACTCTGGCCTGAGACAGGTTGATATGGCCTTTTTGGGTGCAGTTATGGTTTCTCCATCCACTCAAGGGAAGACGTGGTCTTTGGCTATGGTCTTTGTTTCCCCCCATTTGTCCCCACTGCAGGGCACAGGCCATGGCACTGGAGCCAGGATGTGAACAGAGCCAAGATGCAGCTGGAGATGTCTCCTCGCTCCAGCACCTGCTGACCCAGGCAGCTTTCCCAGGTGTGATCAAGGCTGCAGAGAGGCTGCAGGGGGGGACAGAATAAAGCCACCTTCAAGGAAGCACTTCATCACAGCGGAGACCAGCCCAAGGATGGACGGATAGCACGTGGGCAATGCGTGGCTGCAAGCCAGCCAGGGAACTGCAGCGAGGTGAAGAGAGCCACCGATGCATGATGCAGTGACACATCTTGGAGCTGGGATTGAAAGCAGGAAGTCCCCAGCAGCGGGCAGGGGCCAGAGCTGCCCATGTAACAGCTGCACCTACACCTCTGCGGGGGATTTCTTGTGCTGCGGCAACCTGCGAGCTAACCCCACCGAGTTCCTCAGAGGTGAGAAGAGCTCGAACGGCACCATGACAAGAAGCAAAAAGATTTTTAAAAAAGAAGGGAGGAATTGAGCCTGTGCCTCAGGAACACACAAGCCGCTTTCAGTTGCTGAGCCCCCAGAGACCTCAGCAGTGGGTCCTGTCCCCAGAGCTGCTGAGCCTCAACTGCAGGCAGCAGCACCCAGCAAAGCACACGGTGGGGCCCCTCCTGCCCTGGCAGGAACAAGAGCAAAAATCGCCTAGCACGCCTCTTCCCTGCTGCTTTCCAGGGCTGGATTTAAACAAAACTCATGTTTTATCATTGCCACACGCGCTGGACTGCTTTGAAGTAAAACATCCTGGCGCAGTGCCGTTGTCACCCAGGACCTACCACAGCGACAGCAGTGAGCCAGGCATCAAAGCCCTGGTTTTAACCCACTTTGTTTTTCTGGCTTCAGCTTCTGTCCCCGTGAACACGAACAGCAAAGGAGCTGCAGAAAGCTGCCTGCAAGGCAGCCCCGCCTGCTGCACGCCCCGGCTGGCAGCGCATGCGGGACGGGGTCTTACTCTGGCCGCGCTCTCTGCCTGCCCATACAATGTGGGTCCTGCACACCCTGGTGTCCATGGGGTCCCACCATGCAGGAACTAAAGCTCGCACATTGCTGATGGGTAACGTCTGGGGAGGGACACAGGCCTTTTAACTGCAGCTGCTCGGCTGATGGCTACAAAAGTGGCCTTGCCCAAAACAGGAGGGAATTCCCATAACCTGAGAGCAGAAACTGGCTTTAACCTATTTCTTAAGCACTCTTTAAAAGGTGGGACTGATGAAGCAGACTTGTTCTGCAAAAACTATGCAGGACACACATGAGCAGCACAGGGAGCAGACAAACTCATGGAGCATCGCTGTGCAACTCAGACATGTTGAGCAGCCAGTACAGCACCTTGCAAGATGAGACCCCTCCAAATGCACTCTTAGCACCCAAAAGCCAGGCTGAGCAGCTCCACAGTTTGTGACAAGTTTGTAGTAAGCACAGCCACCTTCCAGCCACCAAATACTGTCGTGCAAACAAGCAATTACTGTCTGGACCAAAACCAGGTGCCATTCATTCAGGGCCATGCAGTAGCGCTCAGGGAGCAACTGCAGTTGGTTTTTGTGTAATCACCGCAAGCCAGCGATAAAAAAAGCAATGGCTCAATGGGAATAAAGTGCCAAAATCTCCTTGCTGATGCAAAATTTACAACTACACAGCTGCTTTTCCCCCAGTGCTGGGGCCAGCGGTGCTGGAGCTGCAGGTGGGAGCACACCCAGCAGCCGGGTCACTGCCTCGCAGCCAGGACCTGCAGGGCTGGCCTGGCCTGGCCCCACACCTGCCCCGGGGGACACAGGAGGCCAGGAGGGATTTCAGCTATTTCACCAGGCACCGAATGACAAACAGGCAGGCACTGAAACAATACAAATGCATCCAGATCTCTGAAGGGATGTATTCAGAGGTGAACAGGTTGGTACAAGCAGCTTTCTATTTCAGCTCCCTGCAAGGACATTTAAGAGTAAGGCAAGATTTGGTTGTAACAGGAGGCTCAGGGGCTTACCCAGGCACAGCCCAAAGCACGCCCTCCCAGAACAGCCATCACTGGCATGAGCGGAGTGCCAGTCCCAGACGCGCTGCCTGTGCTGCCACGTGCCACGAGTTCCCACAGAACAGAAATCCAGCTGGATATTTACCCTAGCCGGTCGAGGCAGGCAGATGACATGAGGTTGTGCTGCGAGCCAGTGTCCACCACGGCCTTCAGCTCCTTGCCAGCACACTGCAAGAGCAAGCAGAGATGGGAGATGATATGTGGGATGTGGGATGAGCACAGGGTGCCTGGGGTCTCTGCTCCGCACACACCGGTCCCCGCCAAAATGCCACAATCTCCTCGCGCCAGCCCATCCCTGCTCCACCACATGCTTAGAGCCTGCAGGGTATTGCCTCGTCCACACCAGGCACCCAAGAGTTGGCTCTTCAGTGGCTTTTTGAATAAGGTGGTGCTACTAATCAATATGGTGTTGGGTCCTGAGCCCTTCCTGGCAGCATTTGCCCCTGCAGAAAGCAGAAGGGGGGGCAGCCCCAGGCAGGAGGGGACACTGTGGAGAGTGGGAAATACAAAAGTGTGTAGAGGTAAAGAGGAGAAATGTGAAATTACTCTTGGGGAAATAAAAGATGGATGGTGCTTGAGGAAAAGAAATAGGCTGCAAGCACAGGGATTTGCCATGGATAATTACTCCTCAGCGTTTCAGCATGCTGCCCCAGCCTGGCTCCTTCCTCTGCCCTAATGTCCAAGGGTAGACATCCATCAGACCAAATCTCCCTGTGGTACGCAGGTGGGCCTCCATGCCACAGCAGCCCTGAGCTGGGGAGGGAGAGCATCCCCACAGCTGCGACAGCCCCAGTGGAGTGCAACCCTGGGTGGGAAAGGTGAGAACAAGAGCACAGCTTGAGGCTGTCAGAAATAAGATTTGGGGGGGAAAACAGCCAGAAGGCTGGGGAGGGGCTATTACCTGGCAGCTCACCACTATGAGCTCCTCGTCCTCTGTTTTCCCTGAGCTGCCCTGTTTGGTTTGATTCAGCTTGTTGGTCTGCACCGAGATATCACTCTTCGGAGTCCAGCTGCCTCGGCTGTTTCGTAATTTTGATAAATTTGTCTCCATCAGGCGCTTCTGCAAGATGTTATGTGGTTGCTTTAAGAAAAAACACACACAGAAGAGCAGGGTGAAGTCAGAGGAAAGCCACAAAGTGACCTGCGTCGCCAGCCTGCTTGTGGTGCCCGCGGGCCGGTGCTGCTCTTGCGGGAGGAACGCCCCGAAGTCCCACTCTCCCCGATTCCCAGACTACATGTACTCTTCCTAGCCTACGTCTCTTTGCTCTCCTGCCAGCTCTGGCTTACCTGGCTTTGACTAAAGAGAACTACTTCATATTGGCAAGGGAATAATCCTTTCAAAATATTAACCAGAATTTGGAGGGATGCCTTTCTTTTTCCAAATTCAAGTTCAAAATTTGATTTCATATAGGAATCCAAACAAGTCAGGCTTTTCCAAGCTGGTGTTTCGCTGTAATTGCCTTCATCTCTTGATAAGGATATCAGGAATTCTGCAGCGAGGTGAAAAGTTAAGAGGTAACAAATTTCCTTTCCAGTTACACGCACCACCTAAGTATGGAAAAGGTGTATGGACTTACTGAACGAACACAGATGCTTTCATTCAGCACTGGCATTGCTGGCACAGGACATACCTGTGTCCAGCCTCCACCTGTGGTGATGCTCTTTGCATGAACCAACCCAGAATTTAAGACCCTGATTTGGGTGTCTGTGCATGGGCTCTTACAGGAGTGAGTGAGCAAGGCACAACTGCAAGAAGAGAGCTACAGACAGCATCTGTTGCCAGACCTGGTCTGGCCTTTAGATCAGAATTTGGTCTAAAATTGCCCTGCGTCTCTCTTTCCTCCGCATTTGTATTTAGCTGCTAAGGGTGAACAAATGGGACCAATCCTGAGTGCCATGCCGCAGGAGGGAAAGGAGGGGAGGGGAAGAGGTATGGTTGCCTGAGGTAGGTAGGTAGGTAGGTAGGTAGGTATTCTCCTGGGAACCCCCAACCCTTCATTTGGTGGCTTCTCGCTCTGTCAGTTCCATTTGCTCTGTGAGAAGCACATTGCCTCTCATAATCTCCTCCAACTGCTTTCCCAAAAGCCTTTTTATGTTTAATGTTCGTCACGGATGGATGCACATACTCTGCTGGAGGTGAAATGACTCTGCTTGGTTATCTGCTCATTTCTCTGCCTGGCTAATCTCCCCCCCCCCCCCCCCCCCCCATTACTGCCCTTTCTATCTGATTTTAATTTGTCCACAGCAAGACCTTCTTACTGGCTTACTCCTGAATTTTTGCGTTCATATTAAATATGCCTGCATGTCTGCAGAGACATGTAAAACAGCAACCTGCTCATCCCAAGGGAATTTCAATGGGATCGGGATAACTTTGAAAAGCTTGGGCTGTGGTTCCCTGAGTTGGCCAGCGCTCACCCTCACGTGCAGCATCTGTGTGGTGTGTTAAATAACAGCACTTACAAGAGGCTAATGCAACTTGGCATCATCCTAAAACAACTACAACCACGTTAGTGCTTCAGATCCTGCTGTAGGCATAACACAGGTGGTTAAACTGGACCTGGCTGATGAGATCAGGTAGGTGCAGCCAGCAGTCACCAGCACACAATCTCCTTTTTTCGCCACTTTTCACTGTTCTTACTTCTGCCTACAACCTATGACTTGAAAGGAAATAAAATTCCATGACCATTTTCAGTTGCAGGTGCTATGTCTGACCAGCACGCTAGAGAGCGTGTCCCATGGAAAGGCAGTAACGTAGCCACACTCCCAGCAATAGGGAGAAATCAAATCTGATATTGCGTTGTCTCCTTCCCACTCAAAAAGTAACAAAGCTCCGGCACTGCTCTGGTGACCACTGCCTTCCCAGTGAGACTGGGCAGCAGAAACCAGTATTACTTAACTAGATTTAAGACAGGCAGACTGGCTCCACTAGTAATGGACCGTGTGCTGAGGGACAAGCAAATCCGTTTGGAAGCGAGGGCGCCCTTACACAAGGGTACAACTGTAGGTGCACGGTCAGCGCTGTGATCGCCTCCAAGGCTCCTCATCTGAGCAAAAATGCGAGCTGGGATTTGCTGACAGTGGATGGCATATTCTTCTTACCCTTTATGTTTGCCTGCAACTCAGGCAAGCATCTGGAGAACTAATTCTTCACATCACCAAAAAAAACCCAAGTGAGGGGATAGGAGACTGGAGAAGCAGATGGGTGAAGTTTCCAGCTGGCCAGAAGACAGTCCCATCACTCAGTGGTCACCTCCTCACACCCAGCTAGGACTGAGAGAAATTTCTGAATGGCATCTTCCAGGATAGTCTGGGTGCTTTTCTGATCTGCCTGGCCTCAATCATGTTGCCAAATACCTTTGAAAGAACAGGCTGGAGAAGAACAAGTCCCCATCCCTGGAGGTATTTAAAAGATGCATGGACAAGGTGCTTAGAGACATGGTTTAGTAGTGGACAGGTACGGTTGGTCTCTATGATCTTAAAGGTCTTTTCCAACCAAATGATTCTATGATTCTGTGATAAGTCACCAGCATGGTCATCACTGCTATTTTAACTGTCATCTACCCCTGATTCATACCTAATTTATTTTTTTCCTACAAGTTCTCCTATGGATCGTTAACCAGTTACATATGTGGGTCTTTTTCAGGCCCTGGTTTTATGAATTCTATATGGGATCCCTCACTGAAAGGAAAAAAAAACCATCACTCAGTGAACAGGAGTTACCACCACAAACGGGACTGTCTTCTGTTGATGCTTGCTCTTCTGAAAGCCGCAGCGAATCTTGCCTTCGGGGGGACAAATGTTGCTTACGTTGTGCTCCAATACAGAAACAATCTAGAGAGAGGGGGCTGAAAAGGTTCCCTGCAGCAACATCCTGTCTCAAGCTATTAATTAGTTTGCTTTAACTTGTATTTCCCTTGACTCTTATGTGCAATAGAGTGAGAGATGTTAGTCACGGAGATGACTCAAGTGATGGATACATACTTGGTAAACAGATAATGTGCCAGGGGCCATTGGCAAATGCACATTTTGCTGGAAAACTGCAAGGAGACCATGTCTGGGAGGGAGGGAGAGGAGGAAAAGCTCCCCATGACCGCAATGGGGAAGGCAGCCGCCATGTCCCCACTCCAGCGCCGGGCAGCCACACAGCCAGGGCCGGTATCTGAAGTAACACATATCATCTGGCACTGCCTTTCCATGCATTGCACAAACCTGTTGAAAGTTTTATAAAAAAATAAAATATTACATACACTTACATTGTGTAAGTGCAAAATAATGTTATTTTCTAGTATCATTCAGCACAATGTAAGTACAAACCAGGATCTTTTCCATAAGATAGCTCCCTTTCCATCCCTGCCACTTTGCAAAAACCTGTAGTTCCCTAAAAAAGTCACAAGAGAAACCTAAAAGAAGTGAGTGGAGACACCAGCTCTTGCTGAGCTTATTTACCACTGTCTGTCAAAACCACAAATAATTCTGCCCAGTTTTGTTTCTCTAATTTATAAGCAAGCACAACCCTGCATCTTGCAGTATCCATCTCTCTGGCAGGATTCCCACTATTTTGGCTTCTCGATCTGGGGATAACAAGACCCGTCAACAACAGTTTCACTCAGGTGGAGATGCAAGTCAGGGAAGATGCCAGCTCCTCCCCTCCCCAAACCCATCTCAGGAGGTTTGCCCTCTCTTCTGTACTTAGACAGTAGAAAAAAAAGGAGTTTTAACATACCAATGGAGCTCATCCCAAGGAATAACCCATTTCTTTCTCTTCTTCCCCTCCTTCATCCTAATTCACCTCTTCCACCAGCAGCCTGTGCTGTCGGCCCTTCTCCCAGGGGAATGAGGTGGGACAAGGGATGCCCGCTGCTCTCCTGTGCCCCCTGGCTGCCCAGGCAGCAGCCACGTCTCTGACCAAGGCAGTGCACGTAACATGGAAGTTTTCTGCATTTTAACCAAGACACAACAAACTCTGGGGAGCGCGCAGCAGGGAAGTGGGGAAAACTGAATGCAGTGCAATTTACTGCAATGTTGCACCAGCTACGGGAGCGGGGGACGGGGCCACGGGGCAACCAGAGCTGCGTTGAGGACCCAGGTGCCCACGGGAGGCTCTGAGGGCATTCTGGCAGGGGGAAATGCTTTTTTTGTTGTCGTTTGTTCTGTTTATAACTTTGTTTCCCAGCTTGTAAAGCGATGAGGGACTGTTTCAGGCCGAGCCCCTCCAAACTGGTCCAGCAGCTCCCGGGGTGAGGGCGAAGTGTCGGAGCACAAGGAGGAGCTGCCAAGGGCCAGCACACCCTGCCCAAGTCAGTTATGGTGTCAGGAAGCCCAAATCCCAGCTAACAACCATCTCATGCTGATTTTCTGGGCTTTGGGGAGGAGGCACAAAATCGGAGCGGTCGCTGCCAGATGCCACCCTGACAGACGGGATCTGTCCTCACTACCTGTCCCCATCTCGGGGAGCTGTTACCTCCTTCTCTTCTCCTGCCGAGGCCACTGGAAAACCCCCGCGGGAAACCCTGCATTAATAACACCCTTCCACCCACGTCACCACAGCTGTCACACAGCTTTAGGAACGAAAAGGCGCTGCTTTGTTAGGAGGTACGCAGTTATTCACAAGACGTGCGAATTCCCTGGGCAAAGACCCCTGATGCCCTGAGCCTCCTGACCACACAAGCTCAACCCCTCTGGACCTGCTCTCGGTTTGGGGCCATGCCAAGTTGGGGTCCCACATTTCAGAGGTTCTGGATGCTTCTCCAGTCTGAGAGATGCGTGATCTCCCGTTCCTCCTGGGAACAACACTTGTGACTTCCAGGCAGCCACGGCACCAGGGAGACACGGTGGGTCCTCCTGCAGCGATGCTCCCTGCTGTCCCAGCCACATCTGGTGTGAGCGTGGTGGCACTGGCAGCGTTGCTGTGCAGCGTTGCAGCAACATGACCCACAGCCATAGCTCTGAAATTCACAGCCACCTTCCCTGGGGCTGCGGGAACAGGCCTGAGCACATGCCACCACTGTCACTTTGGGGAATCCCCACAGGTCCCATGGGGCAGGAGGCTGTGGCCAAGGCGAGCCCTGGCCATGTGCACCCACTGTCCCATCACCCCTCGCTGCAGCATGGGGACAAGATGGTTTTGCAGTGGGATGGCTCATACCAGCTAGGCTCTCCCCCCATCCCTGGCTGAAGACTCACCACAGCCAGGGTGGGCAGCACACCTCTGCCATGCCGCACCTCCTTTTTGTCCTTGGAGGGGACCTCCAGGAGCTGTGGACCTCCCCAGGGCTCTGGCACATCCCTGGAGAGAGCCCCCCTGTGCATACCCTCCTTGTGGGGGCTGTGGGTGCAGCAGAGGCGATGCCGCAGTGGCAGCGCAGGCACAGTAGCAGGGAGGAAACCTCAGGTGACATT